GATTTGGGTGAAAATTTATAGAGAAAATTCACTTTCCATACAGCAGTTCACATATACTTTGTCTCATGACATTGACCACAGTTTACCACAATGCAACAGTTCCCCTCCCATTTCCTCCTGATAATTACCTCTTCCCTGTGTCCATCCCTCCATGCCCTTCTGCCCCCTGAGCTGTCTACCTGTGCATAAGCAGCCCTTATTTCTCCCATGATTGTTCTCTCCAAGGAGAGTATCAACTTGAGGTAAATGTTCAACTCATATGCCTGTCTTTTGTTTGGCTGGAAACTACAGGTGTGAGTTCAACTCCAGACCTGAAGGGCAGTTAGGGGCCATAGTCTCAGTGGTTCTACCAGGCTTTATCGGACCAGCAAACCTGGTCCCCACCTTTTTTTTTTTCTCCTCCAAATGAGTTTTGTTCCACATTATTCTCCCTCTCTATCCAGGATCTCCTACATAGATCCCTAAAGGGCAATTTTTTAAAGCAAATCACAGATAAAAACTCTCACTGATGTTTCTTAGAGAGAAGTATCCACATATTAAAAACTATTTGGCTTAAGTCCAAGGTGGAGACACACAAACTCAAACCCACTCAATTCTGACTCACAATGACACATCAGGACAGAGCAGAAAAACCACAGTGTTTTTGAGACTGTAAATCTATAGAATTAGCTTGCTTCATCTTTCGAGTTAAAACCAACAATCTTCTGGTTGGCAGCCAAATGCTTTAACCACTACGCCATCAGGTCTTTATAAATGGAGATACGGGCTGTTTTACACGTGTGAGTGCCTGGCAAAAAAACAGCTTCATATACATTATGCCCCATTATGAGAGGCAGGTCAAATCAGTGGTTTAAGTGATTTACCCACAGTTAACAGCAAGTAAAATGGTAAAGCCTGGAATAGAATTGTCTGCAAAATAAACTCCATGCCAAAAGTGTTACCATGGTAAAGCTACTCTCAGAGATATCTTCTGCAGTCTCTGTATTTAGAAATCATTTATAAATTTCAAAAAATAACAAAATCAGAAACATAAAAATTTAATCCAAAGCTTCCCAAGTGGTTGTTTAATTCAAGTATGCCATATAAAAGGGTAAGAGCATGGACTACTATTTTAGAAGCCCATTGTCCAGGACAGTATCCACTAGGCACATACAGCTATTAAAATTTAAATTGAAAATAATTAAAGAAAATTAAAAATTCAGTTCCTAAGTCATACTAGCCACATTTCAAATGCTCAATAGCCCCATGTGGCTGGTAGTTATTGGATTACAGTGCTGATACAGAATATTTCCATCATCACAGAGTTTTATTGGACAGCACTGCTCTAGATAGAAAGAACATTGGCTTTGAAGCCCAAAAGATCTAGATTTGAATTCTCCCTTCATATATTACCTTTGTGACACGAGAGTGAATTTGTTAACTTCTCTGAGGCTTATGTTCCCTTATCTGTAATTTAAGAATCAGAAATAAGGTACTGGGAACATCACTGCTGCTCAGTAACTACAGAATCTATAGATTAAGCCTCCCTACCTCTCACTGCATGGAATAAAAATATAAAAATCAAACTCACTGCCGTCGAGTTGATCCCAACTCATAGCAACCCCTCCTTGCGTTTCCAAGGCGGTATCACTACAGAAGTAGATTTCCTAATCTTCCTTCTGAGGAGTGGCTTGTGGGTTTGAACCATCAGCTTTCTGGTAAGCAGTCAAATAAAAATATACTGCTTCTATAAGAGTCTAAACAGTCACCAAACCTAAGCCCTTGGTTTTTGCAAGCATATTTTCTGTTAGATTTTACCTTTTTGGGGGATGTGGAAGAAGGTGGTGATAGTGGACATCTTGTATACATAAAAAAGTGGAAAAAATAATTATAACAAAATATCACAATCAATTTAGAACTGGAAAAAGTAATAGTTTCATTTCCTATTACATTAACTTTAAAAACTGATTTAAGTGACAGATGGTGGACCCAAAGGTATAACTTGAGTTAAATGGGTCAGGCGTCTTGGTGGTATTTTCCACAAGAGAACTTCAAAGAGCAGCTACAGAATCAGGTATAATTACCTGTATTCACAATCAAACACTAATTAACTTTTTATTTAAAGAATAAATCCCTAAACAACTCAGAAGCTTGCTGAACTGACAGACTATTTTCCACTTTTAAGACTAGGTAGACAAAACATGCACTCAAGGGGCTGTAACACTCACAGATTCACTTTATGCTGTCTTGTTACTTCTGCCCAATAGTATTCCTTTAAATACTCCATTTCCCCAAGGTTCGTCTCCTAGTCTGTTTCTAACACACACACAGTGTTGTACTTGACCTTTCCAGGTCCTTCTCTAGTCTGAAAACAAGCTGGTATGCTCTCAAATTTTCAATTAGCAATATTAGAAACTGTATGGCCCTTAAGAGATGATTCAGCTGCCTCAATTAACTGAGGAATGGAGTGACCTGGTTAAACGAGTTTCCTGTTCAATTAAGAAAAACCTTTGCTTCAACTCTTTGTTGAAAATTTTTCTAAAAGTAAAATTAGTTTACTTTTCTGCACCTAAATATCCTCATTAACATAATAAATACTCTCAATGATTTAAAGTTTGACATCATTTCAATAAATTAATCTATAATACTATAATGGGTTAAAGTTACCATGCTGACCCAAGGTTATACTCTACATATTAGCTAGATTTTTTGTTCTGTTTTGTTCTAAATTTGCCTTCATTTTTTCAGATAAATGAAGCTCTGATTAATTAAGTTCTAATTAACCATGGTTCAATTATATTTGTGTTGTGTCACACTTGCAACTTCACAGGAATCTTTACTTGTGAAATAAATACAGTATGACTCACTTTAGGCTTATGCTAGGTCCATGGGCCTCTGGTAATTTTCCTTACTGATTAACAATTGATCTTTTTTCCTAGGAGTTACAGCTAGATTAAGTTTACAAGTGAAGAGCAGAATTAACCCAATGTCACATAAAAAAAAAAATTAAAAAAAAAAAAAAAAGATCTATGTTCCTTTGCAAAATTTCCCCTTTAACTGTGTTCAGCGCAGAGAAAAACAGCCATCTAAAGTTACAGTTACTAAAATACATTTCCAATATGTCCACAAAATTTAAAAGCTCAGGTAGTTATATGGACAAAGAGTTTAATGAGATGTCAAGAGAGATCCTAATTCATGTAAATACTTAAAAATAAAGAAGGGAGAAGGACTGAGGGCTTCCAGCTTTAAAACAGACCTTGTTTTAACCTCCTTTTACCAAACCAAACCCAACCCACTGCTACTGAGTTGATTCTGACTCATAGCAACCCACATGGGGTTTGCAAGGTGGTAAATCTTTACGGAAGTATATTGCCCAGTCTTGCTTCTGTGGAGTCGCTGGTGGGTTTGTACCACCAACCTTCTGGTTAGCAGTTAGATGCCTTAGGCACTGTGCCACCAGAGAGCTCCTTTGCTTCTCCTTTAGGGAATTAAAAAAATGTCATTTTATACTGATACTCCCATCCTCTGCCAAATACCAGTCACCTCCTAAAACCAAACTCACTGCCATCGAGTCAATTTGAACTCTAACACCATAGAACACTGTAGAACTGCCCCACTGGGTTTGCAAGGCTGTGAATCTTTGCGAAAGCTAACTGCCTCATCTTTCTCCTGTAGAGTGGCTTGTAGGATCAAACTGCTGACCTTTTTTGGTTAGCAGTCAAATGCTGTAACCACTGCACCACCAGAGCTCCTTAATTACCTCTTAGTCAAGTGCAACCCAAACATAGTAACTTCTATCTTTTAAATAAGAAGCAACATTTCTCCAGCAATCTCTTAGATGGTAGTTGCAGCATAAGCACTCTGCTACCACAAGCAGTTTTGATGTTTCTATGGTCAATGTCAAACAAAGTGATTGTCCTTTATCCTTACACACCTAGACTTTCAATATTTAACTACAAGAACCAAGCATACTTTTTGCTACTGGGCATTCCTGAAAGGGCTACTCTAGCTTTGCTCCTGGCATCCAATTATTATTAGAGTCTGTAAAATGCTTGAAAGGACTCTGGAGTAGGAAGCAGAAGAAAGAGGTGAAATTCTTATTCTCCAACTGAGAAGCTGTCACTCACCTCTGAGCCACAGTAGACTTAATTTCCTGCCTACCTCACACAGGCAATGAATTAGTAGTATTAAAGTATAATAACACCTACCACAGCACTGGTACCCAGTACACACTCAACTAAATAAATAACTTGAAAAAGACCACTCTTCAGAACAAAGATACTACTTTCTTTGTGAAAAGTCAAAACCTGTCCCTAACCTATGTGTTCCAAACTAAGTTTTGTTGCTCAGGGTCATGGGCAGCCAATAAGTCAGTGTTACAATAAAAACAAAGAAGTGACACTTATTTTCATACAACAAACAAGAATAATATGCTATTGAATGGAATAATGTAGTTAATTAAAATAACACAATAGGTTTTTATATATAAAACAGAACGTTTTCAATTTTAGAAGCCCAGTTTTAAAAATTTTATTTTAGTAAGAGACTCATCTATAATCATAAACAGAGTATATAAATTATATTTATTACAAATTGAAACTCCAAAAATAATGTATGGATAGAAACTAAAGTCATTCAATTTTAGATGTAAATACATTAAGTCTAATAAAACAATTATACTCACAGCTTGCATTTCTATATAGAAGAAATGGTTCATGGAGTTGAAATTCCAAATCTTTATTGACCGGTTCAACCAGATTGTGCATATTCAGTCGATTCACAATGGTAAAACCATGGTAAGGTGAAGCTGACCTTAGATTTAACAGAATTAAAGAAACAAAACAAAACAAAACACAGAAATAATCTGTAGTCACTGCTTAATTTGCAGAAATGTTACCTACTTTTAAAATTTCCATTTTAAAACAAAATGAATATATTAGTAAATACAATACTATAAGCACTTAAAAATACAAATAAAAGACAAGTCCGATTATGTTGCTCCTCTGCTGAAAACCTTCCAAGGACTTAGCCTTTCAGAGTAAAGGCCAAAGATCTTATTAAGGGCACCAAGGTCCTACCTGATCTTGCTCTCTTCTTACCTCACCTTCCTTTGCTTCTTCCCTTGTCACTTGTCCCAGCCACAAAGGGGTTATTGCCACTCTCCCACTATGCAGTTGTGCTGGACCTGAAGGTCTCTGTCTGAAACATTATCTCAGAATTTGTAGATATCTTGCCTTCAGCAAGTCTTTGTTCAAATGTCATCTTCTTAATGAGGTCTATTATTCTATTTAAGGGAACTCTGGTAGCATATTGCCTAAGGCACTTGACTGCTAACCAGAAGGCTGGAGGTTCAAACCCACCAGCCACTCCTCGGAAGGAAGATAGGGCAATCTACTTCCATAGTGATACTGCCTCAGAAACCCAACGAGGGGTTGCTATGAGTTGGGTCCAAATCAAGGGCACATAACAACAACAACAACAGCAACAACATTCCATTTAATGCTACGACCTGCTTCCAAGCTTTATTCCTCTAACTCTTCTATTTTTCTAAACCACTTGTTACGTATTCCCTTTGTCTTTCTCCCCATACTAGAAAGTTCCATGCAGATGGGGATTTTTGTCATACTTTTTTATAGATGTATGCCAAGAATCTAGAACATAGAGTAGATGTTTAACAAGTATTTGGGAAATGGACTGTCATCATTACTATAATTACTTAGCATGCACCAAACATGTTTTTACAGAGTTCTCTTGAGTTAGATGGATGATGCCCTGAATCCTACAATAAAAATCGTCCTTGGTTTCCCATATCAGGGGGCATTCAGTACACAATCCTTTATAAACACTCCTCACATGTACTTTCTCTGTGATGTATGTGGCAGACGATATTAGAATCCTATTTTACAGATTAGGAAACAAGCTCAGTACAATTAAGGCCTGTGGCCAAAGTCCCACAAATAATGTAACCAGAATTCAGCTTCAGGTTTTTTGATTCTATATCCAGGCTTCTTCTGTACTAAGTGGTCTTTGTAAAGTGATATTCTGAAATCTAGGTATACTTTTATGCAAGGTATATAAAATGTTCTCACATTTACCAAGAAAGTTTCTTTTGAACTCCTTCTATTAGAAATCAGTACTGACCATGTAAGACTGTAGGAATTTTGTTAAATCAGGCCACTCACTTACACTAACTCTCACATTTTCTACAGTCAGTGTTTAGGCACTATACTTCAACAGTAAAGTCAGAAAAGTACTTTCCACATATTAGATACCCAGGTTGTAACAAAAGTATAAGAGTTCCTATACATTCATACTGAAAATGAAAAGTAATTAAGTAGATTAAGTGGAAAGGCCTTAAAAAAGAAATGAATAGAAATGAATAAAAAGGAACAAAGTACCAAAGAACTTGGTGTATAAGTATCAAAGGACTTATATTTCAAGGGAAAAAAAAAAAGCTCAGGGTGCTTATATAAGATCTCAAAGCTTTACACCAAAATCCAGGAGAATATTTGACAAATTTCCTTTTAATTTATAAGAGAAAGGCATAAAAGATAACTCACATTATATATATATATATATAATTAAAAAAAAAAGGGGGAAAGAATCAATTGCTAATAATAACTCCTGCTAAGTCTCTAAGCTTTAGAAATCAAGAGAAGGATCCTTCACTTGTGAGAAAGACCTTAGAGGGATATTAACTCCACCACTAGGCTGCAAAAGTTGCCTAACTAAACAAAGCTATAATTTGTAAACCAATCATGTTTTAATATAATTAAACAGTTGAAAATAAAAGGTACAATTATGAATAATTTAGGCTTTCTAAAGAATTCTCAAACAAACTAAAAATGTATATTAATAAAGACACTGTAAGTAATCCAGAATTTGGGGATGGTGGTGTCCAGAGTCATATACAACCTCTCACTTAGTAGCCTCAAAAAAGAGAGGCTGATAACTACATTATTTTATAGAATCAGTATGTGTATTATAATTTTCTCAACTGTATACCTTTTCTTAATTTTTTTTTTTTAATATTGGAGGAGGGAGGGAGGCATCTGCTTTGCACTCATCCATTACTAGAAAATGCTTTCTTTTCTGAGGGTTCTGCTAGGCTTTTAAATCAGTCCTGGTTCTGTAAGGCTCAGAGAAGGGAAGTGACTTGGTTATGACCTCAAAACTTAAGGGGGACAGGCAGGAATGTCTTCTTTCCCCAAAGAAGTTGAACTACTTCATATGATAGTGTTCATCATTTGATTTTGAAAAGACAATAAATATCATTTTTCAAAAAAGCTTACCTTCGATATACAAACAAGGTCCCTTCTATATCAGTCTTCTCCTGTAATAGACAATGAATCAGTGTTTTCCCAATCATTCAAACCCAAAAAGTCCTAATGGAGAAGAAACGTCTCATGTTTAAGATCCATTTACTTATTTTCTTACGTTTCTTTAACTGCATACTAAGTAAATGTATTCAATGTTCAATCAACCAACATATCTGTATTTGCAACATTTTTCAGCTATAATATTTTAGCAAGATTTCTTAATTTTAAAGCCAAGGTTATGAGCACAGCAGTTCTTCACTTTTAAAGTTTATCAAAATTAATAGGAAAAAAGAAAGTTTAACTATACGATACTTTGTTCCATCCTTGGGAGACACTGATATGCTTTAATATGCAGCAAGTTTTGTGATTAGTTAAGAATTATTGCCTAATATAATTAGCTATTTTTAGAATTTTGTTGAAGGAAATACTGAAACTATTAAAAACAAAAACCCAGTTGCCATCAGGTCAATTACAACACAGGGAGCTCCACTATGCAAAGGGTTGTCAATGGCTGTGGCTTTTCAGAAGGAGATTGCCAGGCCTTTCTTCAGAGGTGCCCCTGGGTGGATGCAAACTGCCAACCTTCAGTTAGTAACCAAGGGCTGAACCATTTGTGTCACCCAGGGACTCCCACTAGTAAGTATTCTCTGCCCTAATTATTATAGGTCTTACAAATAATCTTTGAAATGTCTTAAGAAAGCACAATTCATGATCATCTTCATTTGTTGGGACACAAGTGTATTTAGGTTTTAAACAGTGACAATTTAAAAAAAAAAAAAAACCTCAACCCAAATAACCCAATAATAATAACTCAACCTGCACTAGACCTTGATGTTTTAATGCAATCAACACACTTTGAAAAACTTCCAATGTTAACCATATCGAATTTGTTGTAGTAACAAGAAAAAGGTATCTTGACTGTTTTACAGGAATAGTTTTGCTCTAGCTTAAACACTATCATGAAACTTTTTCTTCCTAAGGATTCAGAAGGTTATCAACTGTCTCATAGTAAAAGAAAACTTGACCTCCTATTGCATTGAGAAAAACTACAATTCACCACAAAATAAGGAGAGAAAAAGATTTTGGCTATGCTTTCTGTAGGAGCTCTGGTAGCATAGTGCCTAAGGCACTTGACTGCTAACCAGAAGGCTGGCGGTTCAAACCCACCAGCCACTCCTCGGAAGGAAGGTTGGGCAATCCTACTTCCGTAGTGATAACTGCCTCGGAAACCCAAGGAGGGGTCACTATGAGTCGGGGCCGACTCGACGGCAAATAACAACAACAACAACATGCTTTCTGTACCATGATTCAAATATACAAACAATGGCAGCTTATTTTTCAATTCAGGTTATTATAGCCTCTAATTCATATTTAAAACACATTTCCACAATCAAAATTCCAAAGTATTTAAGTCTCTGTGTCTTCATTTGTTCACAATCTATATTTGTGCCTAACCACAATTCATATACAGATGAAGAAATGTGGATTCTTCCCACATCTCTTCTTCATCTAGGAGGTGGAAGAAAGATCATCAAGAAAAACAAGATGGTTCTGAAAACTCTCTTCTGTCAATTAACTTTTTATAAAAGCCAGATGATTTGCACAAAGTTAATGATAAACCTAACTATACATCTGTATTATAATGTAAAGGGCATATTACAGTAATAATTTTCAGAGTTTTGTTAAGTTTAAGGGTTTTTCTCTTTTTTTTAATTGAAATATGAACGTAAGGCACAAATGAATTCATTTCAACAAATATTTACGGACTATTTTCTAGGTGTAAAGCCAGTCCCACCCACCACCATCGAGTCCATTACGATTTATAACGATCATACAAGGCAGAGTATAAGTGTCCCATTGGGTTTCCAAGGCTCTATGTCTTTACAGAAGCAGACTGCCTCATCTTTCCCCCGCGTAGCCACTGGTGGGTTGGAACCACCGACTTCCTGGTTGGCAGCCGAATGCTTTAACGACTGCGCCATCCGAGTTCCTTGACTGAGTTCTTTGGTAAAGATCAATTACAAAAAAACGAAAATTATGGTAAACAACGAAACTTCAGGCAGGGGCTAACACGAATCAATGAACAGATTGAATGTAACCATTAGGACCTCCTTCTGTGAAAAAACAGCCACAATGTACTTAGTCTGGTTGCAGAATTCAGAGGTGACATCACCGGTATCACAGTTGGAACAAGAATACATTTACAGGGTCTCTTTACCAAAGATCTCAAAGGAATTCCGATAACACGGAAGCCCCTTCCTATGGGCTCTGAAATCTTTTCCAAAACTCCGGAAACAGTATACTTCGTTTGAAGCCGAATTCACCCCCACCCCTTCCAGGAACTTTAACTAATTGGATTTCAAGGTTTAAATTCAAATGACCTTTGCGGAAGAGGCTCTCATTTAGGTGCGTTCCGGATACGAAGTTTATTACATATACGTATATGTAATTTATCAATCCACGGGTCTCACATTCCCCAACGCATATGCAAAAAAGACAGGTCGCCCATGACCCCGGAGCCGATGCAAAGCAACTCGACCCTGCTCCCAACTTCCCCTCCACTGGCTTTATCCCCAGAATATTTTGGTCCTACTTCTCTGCTTCCTCCTCCTCAGCCCTGAAGGATCCTGATGACTCCCCAATGCCGGCCTCGCTCTTCGCTAGTCCCCGGCCTCTCTCCCCGCAACCTTAGTCTCCCTCAGTGCCCCTCAGCCCCGGTAGTCCGCGCGGCCCCTTTAAGAGGCGGCGGCGGCGTCCGAACGTGAGTCCTTCGTGCCCAGATCACACTCACCCACTGGTTGGCCTTAGGACAGAAAGTGTACAGAGCGACCTGGCCCGTGAGGTCCGCGATGCTGGTGATGTAAGGGTCGTGTTGTTTCAGGGCCGCCAGGCTCATCTCCTGCCCAGCTCTACTCAGCGACTCCATCTTGAATCTCAGAGCCGAGCCCCTCCAGCGGGGGCGGAGTCGTGGGCCGGAAAGTGCAACGAAGCAAAGTTCCCCCAGTTTCGTCAGCGCCTTCGATTTCCGCCTCTTCGCCCGCCTTCAAGCGGCGGCGGTGGTGGTGGGTGCGGCAACCATCCTGCCCCGCAGCACGAGCCCAGGGCTTCGGGTTCCGGCGCCGACAGGTTCCTTTTGTTCTGTTCCCAGAGGCGTCCACTGCCGCGGGGCGGAGCTGACGGGCGGAGGCTCCCGGAATGCTTCCTCTTCACACTTACGACGTCCTTGTTATAGGATCAAAACGTTCTGCGGTCTTTTCTTCGAGCATTTGCGGGACGGATCCGGGACTTATATATACCAAGGCTGCTTCACGTCCGCACGCGACAACAGCAGGAGTCGCGGAACGGAAATTCAGCCATGGAAGTGAGCTGAAAAAAGCGAGAGAGAGGGAGGGGAGCGAAAACTACCTCATATCTCACCAGATCATTACCGTTAACAATTTGATGTTTTCTGAAGAAAAACTCCACAGGAGTAACATCCTACATTTGCCCCTTGTTTCCGTGATATTGGTCCCATGTACATATTTCCATCCAATTCTAGGAAGAGCCCAGGAAGGCCAAAGTTTGTCGTTTATCATTTAAAGGACTAAAAGGATAATTTATTGTTTTAGCGAACATCTGTAAAACATATTAAGGAGTAAGGTACTGTTGTGGTAAAGAGTAAAACAACAGACCACAGAGAACTATTTCCGTAGACTTTTTCATAAGTAACATTTTATTTATTGAAAAGATACTTTGAATTGAGGGAATTCCTGAGTTTAAAATTTTTGAAATGAAAATTTGATTTTATAGCCTGGGACTATCAATGGAAAGAAGCTTATGTCTTACATTTGCAGAATCATGTAAGAAGCAGGTACAAATGTGAACAAGGAAACATCATTTATTCACTCTTAAGCAAGTAGTTATTGAATTTTGAACTAAGGCGCCCTCATGGCACATTGGTTAGGCACTCGACTGCTGACTGAAATGTCCATTTTTCCGAGCCAGAGGAGAAAGAGGCTCAGTCGCTTCCATAAAGATAGAGGCTTGGAAACCCTGGGGCAATTCTACTCTGTCCTATAGGGTAGCTATGCTTTGGAATTGACTTGACCCCAGTGAGTATCTTTATCTGGGTTTTTGAATTTTCAACTGTGACTCTGGGGTCTCCAAAGTCTGTTAAGATGACTTTCTGGCTCTGCGAAAAATTGGAAGAAGAAGGACAATGCAAGGAAACAGGACAATGATAGAGACATTTCTTTTGAAACTCAGGGGGTGGAGGCTACCAACTCCATCTAACTCAAAAAGACAGACTAGGAAAGCTTCATGGAGGAGGTTCATTTGAATAGGAGCTCCAGATATTAACAGGAGTTTATCAGGGGAAAAAAAAAGGTAAGGGCTCCCCGCTTCCAGGGGTTAGGTAATGAAGGCGTGGTCATCCTCACTGGCAGAAAATTTGATTGAGGCCTGGAGTGGAGAAATCACTGGTTCAAAATTCCACACTAGTCAGAGGGGATCCAGTGTTAAAATCCAGGGTCTCCTGCCTTCTAACTAGGGTCCTTTTCTCCCCATTCAATCTGGTTTTCTTTCATTGGTGAAGAGCGCCACAAAAAATTACTTGTTTTTTGAATAAATAATACATTCACCTGATACAACCTTTAAAAAAAAAAAAAAAAAAAAACCACACTTGAAACAGTTTCTTTTCTCTTTTTTTTCACATAGATTTCCTAAAATAATCTATTTCCTTTTTACTTACAATTTTTGTTTGTGCTAGACTAGTGAAGAATACCAACCTATTTAGGAGTTTTCATATTAAGAATAGATGTTGATAGATGTTGATTCTCATGCACTTTACTGTTACATCTTTTAAGGCATCTTAAAGACCAAGTCAATATTTTGGAATTGAAAGTCATCCATATTTACTTGAGGTCTAATTTTCCTTTGAGTCCCTGGGTGGAGCAAATGGTTAAACACTGGGCTACTAACTGGCAAGTTGGTGGTTCAGATCCACTCAGAAGTGCTTCTGAAGTGAGGCCTGGTGATCTGCTTCCAAAAGGTTATATCTTCAGAATCCTGAGGTACTTCTACTCTGCACACACGAGATTGCCTTGAGTACTGTAATAGGGGAAAAGAGATCCCAGATTCAAACAGGTTCAATAGAGACAATTTTATTGAGCCTTAGACAGGGCAAAGACAAAACAAAAACAATCATTCCAGACAAGGAAAACCATCAGCATGTACACAGTACAGAAAGCTGAATGGAGGCCCCCAAGTCATGATTATGGGGCTAATTAAATATGATTGAAAATAAAGGGAATCATGATTGGTAGCAGATGGTTTCAACTCATCATAAAGTCATGATTGGTGGCTGATCAATTCATCACTGTTGCAGGTGGGACTACAGAAGCAGGGAAATGACCATGATTGGAATAGCTACATAATTGAAGATAAAAGAGGGTTACAGGACTTCCTCTGGGACTTGACTACCTGGCTAGGTGGTGGTCTGGATATGACTCATGACCATGTGGCCTAAGTCATAGCCACAAAGTGGCTGCAAAACAATACCAGGACCCCAACCTTAATTTAAATTAGAAAAGGACACATTCACGCAAGTTCCCTAGTTCTTTGTGTGAGCAGAATCTACTTTCAATCACACTCTTCCTGAATGCAAAATGCCCCTTACTAGGGTTGTCCTGGAACTTGTCTATGCATGGCCATGATACTGGTTTAAGGGTCAGAAAACTCAAATGGTGTCTGAAACTTATGTCAAGCCTCAAAATGGAGTTAGAGCTTCCACTGTAGACCACAGTCTTCCACAAACCAAGTGCTTTAGAATTTAAGCTCTAATACAGTTCGAATTGACTCAACTGCAAGTAACAACCAACATTTTTGTTTTATATTTGTGAATCAAATTTTAAGACCTTTAGTGCATCTTTCAGAAAATAAATTCTGAGACAATTAACATTGTATCTTAGTCTATTAGACTGGGATACAGTGGTGGTGTTGTTAGGTGCCATTGAGTTGGCTCTGACTTTTAGAGACACCATGTACAACAGAACAAAACACTACCCTGTCCTGTGCCAGCCTCACAATCCTTGCTACACCTGAGCCCATTGTTGCAGCCATCGTTGAGGGCCTTAGACTTTTTCATTGACCCTCTATTTTACCAACCATGATCACCTTCTCCAGGGAATGGTCTTTTCTGACAATGACCAAAGTAGGTCAAATGAAGTCTGGCCATTCTCTCTTCCATGGCGCAGTCTGGCTGTGCTTTTTCCAGGACAGATTTGTTAGTTCTTTTGGCAGTTTATGGTACTTTCAGTATTCTTCACCAACACCACAAGTCAAAAAAGCATCAACTCTTCTTCAGTCTTCCTTATTCCTTGTCTAGCTCTCACTTGAATATGAGGCGATTGAAAATACCATGGCTTGGATTAGGCGTACCTTAGTCTTCAAGGAGACATCTTTGCTCTTCAGCACTTTAAAGAGGTCTTTTTCAGCAGATTTGTCCACTGCAATATGTCTTGATGTCTTGACTGCTGCTTCCATTGGTACTGATTGTGAAATCAAGTAATATGAAATCTTTGACAACTTTAATCTTTTCTCCATTTGGCGCAATGCTGCTTATTGGCCCAGTTGTGAGGATTTTTGTTTTCTTTATGTTAAGATATAATCCATACTGCAGACTGTAGTCTTTAATCTTCATCAGTAAGTGCTTCAAGTCATCCTTACTTTCAGCAAGCAAAGTTGTGTTATCTGCGTATTGCAGGTTGTTAATGAGACTTCCTCCAGTGCTGATGCCACATTCTTCTTCATATAGTCTAGCTTCTTGGATCATTTGCTCAGCATGCAGATTGAATAAGTATGGTGAAAGGATACAGAGTAGATCCTCAATATTTTTGAATGAATATAATTTTAAAAAAAATTTATTTTGATTTGAGTGAAAATTTATAGAGCAAATTCATTTTCTATACAGCAGTTCATACACAATTTGTTTTATGACATTAACTGCAATGTAACAGCTCTTTTCACACTTCTTTCTTGTAGTTATCTCTTTCCTGTGTCCTTTCCTATGCATTCCCGCCCTAGAGCTATCTCCCTGAAGTCTACTAAAGTGAGTTCCTGCCCAGTGCATGATTAAGCCAAATCAGTTCACACACCCTGCATACTTGAGAGATGAGTAAGATTTGTTACCATGTACATGGTAAGGAGACAGGCCAGTACCCTGGGGCTGAAGTACAGTTTTTGTAAAATTTAGGAAATGGGTCTGTTCTGGTTACCTGGTACTGCTCTGACAAGAATATACCACAAATGGGATGGCTTGAACAAACAGGAGTTTATTCTCAGTTTGGAGGCTTTAAGTCCAAGTTCAAAGTGCCAGACACTAGAGGCTGGGTGAAAGCCCCTCAACCTTGGTTCAGCTCTGCCTCCTGCTCCCAGCCCACTGAAACTGGAGGCTTTTCTTCACTCAGACAGCTGTTGGCTGCTGAGGCTGACAAGGCCAAGGTTGACAAGTAAAAAGGCACAGTTCTGATGTTACCAGACCACATGGCAGGCCATTAATTCAAGTCCATTGAAAGTCCCAAGGTTGGCAGAACATGACAGGCTGTTGAACAACAACTTGGCTACATGCAGGGTTCAAGTGTGCCATAAGCTAGAGACCATTCTTAAAGCTTTTTCTTATGTACGGGAAGCAGACCACATCCCTAAGGCAGCTACTCAGCTGCTCACAGTAGATTCCACCACGGAGTTAATTACCCATCTCACCAGGGGGAACAACTTTATCCAGCTGCCCAGACACTCAACCAGGCCCAGTCAATTTGACACACAAACTTAACCACTATAGGGGCTATACATAATCATATAAATGACAGGAATTTTGGTGTGAATTAGCTGGAGATTGGGTGAGGTTTCGTTTGCCTTGGTTTAAAGGGACAGTCCATTTTTAATGCAGTGCCATTGCACACCAGATGAGTTATACTGACTTCCTGTCATCAGCTGATTGGGGCTTAGGCAGAGGGGTAGATGTTAGTT